TCTATTGGTTCCCTGAGCTCACTCCTGATTGGTCCATTTGTAGCACCTCATTTGCATAGAGCTGACTCCTGGTTGGTCCATTTCTATGAAGCTGATTCCTAGTCAGTCAACTTTGTTACACCTTATTTACATATGATGTTGCAAAGTATGGACTAGCAGCCTATAAAAGCCTGTGTAAACCTACAGACGGGGCCCAGAGCTTGGAGTGTTAACTCCTCTGGGCCCGCCGGCGTGATAAACCTGAGTTCTCCAGCTCTCTGAGTGCTGCGTGGTCTCTTGCCAGGATCCAGGTTGCTGTCACAACTGAGCTGTAACACACTTTGCTACAACAAGGTCGATTCTTCAGGAATCCAGTTAAAAAAAAAAGAAGAAATCAAGTCACCAACAAGATATGTCCAAAGCAGGGTCAGGGCAAGCAGACCAGGGAGCCACATGCCCGCAGACGTGGGGTGAGGAGCGGCAGGAACTGGGACCCAAAGACATCCCAGGAGAACCACCCACGAGCTGTACTCAAGCACACGGCTGGTTCTTATTCCTCGTGGACTCGGTATCTGGGACTTTGCCTCCTCACTCAAATGTATTTGGAACCTCGAATTAATCCGTGCGGCACGTCTGTGACCACGTACAGGCACGCGGGCAAGACGTGAAGCTGGACAGAGGACCCTCTGCCTCCTGTGTCGGCCGTGATCTTATGAACAAGTGTCCTTACCCCGCTCTGTTCTCCGCCCCGTTCGGGCTGCCTGTGCTTTTTGTTGGCGATTCTGCTGCTTAAAATGCCGCCCCCCCCCCCGCACAGCGCTGAGTGGGGTCAGATGCCCTCAGGGCGGAAGGCTGTGACTCCCGTGTGTCAGGCGAGCTGCACTCAGGTGTGAGTGACAGGCTGCTGGCCCTGAGCTCTGTGTTCATAACGGGTCAACCGTGGGTATCAAATGATATTCTCTACACAGAGACGCACACTGTTAGTATCAAGCTCAGTATCTGTTAGGACCCTACAGTGAAAAAGGACGCGGAAAGGAGCACACACACGCACATGGGTGACCGAAACATGATGCTGCGCGCCAGAAACGGCCGCAGCACTGTGAGCTGACTATATTTCAACTAAAACAAATTTTAATTAAAGAGTTAAAATTGAAAAAGGAAACACACATAAAACAAGCTTTGGTGCAGACCTGGGGATGAAGACATTGTGACCAGAGGTTCGCAGGGCCCTCACCCCGTGCGTCCCCTGTGGGCAGTGGCCCAGGACTCACTGGGTCAAGGTGACTTTAAAGAGCATGACGGGGGGGCGAGGGGAGGGTGTAGTTCAGCGGCAGAGCGCGTGCCTAGCATGCACAAGGTCCTGGGTTCAATCCCCAGTGCCTCCATTAAAAATAAACAAATAAATAAATAAACCTAATTACCTCCCCCACCAAAAAAAAAAAAAACCTAAAAACAAAACAAAAAGAGCATGACGACCTCCAGTGACGAGAACCGTTGGTCCTCAGACCTGCCCTCGGGACCTCTTCCTAAGAAAACCCCGGACCATCAATTCCACCCACTTCAGAGGTGGCACAAGCCAAAGAGCTGTGACAAGAAAAGGTCACTGTCTACCCGGCAGGGGGACTGAGAGACACCAGGCTCTGAGGTCTGCAGCTGGACGGCCGTTACGTGGGATGGACGGCGACCACGTGCAGAGTTCTACACCAGCAAGAGTTGGGGGATGGGGAAGGAGAGGGAGGCCGTGTGTGTGCACGTGTGTGCATGCGTGCACACGTGTGCATGTGCAACCAGCTGCGTGCTCTCCATCCTCTGTGACTGTCTCCTTCCCGGGCGCAGAGCTAACCTCTGTCCCTCACCCTCCTCTGTGGCCAGGTGCATGCGGTCAGGGGCAGCCTCCAGAGGAAGCGAGGGAAGTGGGGAGGAGAGATGTGGCCCACGAGTTTTCTCTTCCCTCCCCACTCTCTGGGCAGACACTGGAGACCCCGGGGAGCAGCCCTGCTACCAGGCGGGAGGAGCCTGAGTCTGCACGGCTGCGGGGAGCAGAACCCCCGCCTCCTTGTCCCTGCCAGTCCCCAGCACAGAGAAATAAAACATTTGTGTTAAATGCCTGGGGCTCGGAGGTCTGCTTACTACATCAATTAGCTTAATCCGCCCGAAACCGTAGAGGGAGAGAACATTTCGTTCCTCATGGCAATAAGAAAGGAGGAAAAAAACCTGCAATCAAAAGCAAAAACAAAGATTCCAGCCACCCGTGTTTCGTAATCGCTTCTGTTAACTTTACAGGTTTATCTGGAAACAGCCTCTCAGGCAGAGAAATGACTGGCGTTTCCTCCTTTTATACTCAAACACCACCGTCTTAACCGCGCTGGCTTATCAACGCGTGTGCTCCGAGCCTTACCCACGCGCTTCCAGCCACACACGGCCACCCATCGCCTGCAACCCTTGTGGGGACACGCCTGGAACTTTCACCATGTTGACCACTGCCCGTGGGCTGGCACCTGTGCCCTCCCGTAAGTCTGACAAGAGATGTGAATGACACAGAAGGGGAGGTGAAGGCCAGGCCACCACGTTAGTGCAGCCAGATTCCGTCCAGGGGCTCAGGGGAGCCTGAGCTCTGACCCTGCTCTTAGGTGACAGGTGCTCCCGGCCTGGGGTGGGCCCCCAAGAGCAGGCGTTGGGGCAGGGGGAGCAGAGACCCAGCCCTCTCTCTAGACCCTGGGGCACCAGGAGGTGAGGGCCTGGGGGAGGCCAAGGGACCGCACCTGCGCCAAATGGCCAGGAGGTGGCGCAGCGGCCTCCCCGCCATTTCCTCTGATCCCCAGCACAGCCCCTTCCACTGTGGGGCCTCCAAGCGGCTGAATGCAGAGCATGGGGTCTCCCCATCCAGGACACCTCAGAGGCCGTCCACACCTGTCCGAGCCGCATCACAGACCCAGCCCGCCTTCCCCACCTCCTTACACCCAACCCTAACAGGAGGGGTCTTCACAGGCACACCAAGACCGCCAGAGCAGACAGGAGATGCTCCAAGGTCCGGCCAGGTGCCCTGAGTCCTGCGCCTGGAGGGGAGTCCACTCCACCCAGGCCTGGGGCAGAGAGGGCTGCCCCCTGACTATCCAGTCACCTGCTCCCGAGAGACAACAACTCCCAGAGGCGCCCACTCAGCCTGACCGGGGGTCTGCGACCTGCCAGCCTCTGGGAAGCCCCTCTCAGGTCACTGGACCCAGCCCCGCCCCCGGTGTGCCCAGACCCCGCACCCAGCACTCAGACTCTGGCAGCGACCCCAGGACCTCAAGCCCAGCCCAGCCCAGCCCGAAGGGCCCCCAACACCACACCCGACACCCAGCCACCCCCCAGGCACCCTCTCACCCCGGAGCGAAACCCCTCCTGGTCCCCGAGGCCCCGCTGAAAGGGAACCACGGCTGGAAAGACCTCCCCCTCCCGCTTTGCCCAGAGGCCTCACGCACATTCACCCCCGCACAGCCGTGCTCCTGGGCGGCGCTCCGGGTGCTCACCCCCGCGTCTCAGCACCCGGCACGCGAGAACCTGAACACCTCTCCGTGAGCACGACTCGGCACCAGGCGACGCAGAGACCATCCCCTTCCACAGGAAGGACCCCGAGCAGGCAGGGCAGAGCCCTCTGATCCATCCTCCTGCAGTGGTGGTGCAAGGCAGCCGCCCAGGGCCTGAAGAACCAGCGGTCTCCCTGGCTCAGACCTCATTCTAACCACCCCCTTGGGCCCCCTACTCGCCACGCTCCAGCGGTCTCCCTGGGGGGCCTGGAGGCATCGTCCTTAACGTGCCGGGTAACCTGACAGCAGCCTGGCAGAGGTCCCCACCCCAATGCCATCACCTGTCACCCCCCAACACCATCACCCACCACCCATCACTCTGGTTACTTTTCCAGCCCTTCACCGCCATACAAAGCCACCTTAGTCGCCATCTGAGGCTTCCATCCTGCCGCCCAGAGCAGCACCTGGCTCATCACAGACACTCAAAAGGTCAGGTCGCTGAGTAAATGTTAGAAGGACCACCAGGTACCACCCTGTGGACGCCCCGAGCACTGAGAGCACCCCAGACCAGCAGCAGCACCGACCCGAAGCGGGTGAGGAGTGGCCGGTGTGAGTCCAGCCCTTGCCGGGCACCAGGAGAGGCAGGACTGCTGAGTGCTCATCTCTGCTTCGAGCGGTTTGCAATTACATCCAGGAGCCGTGATGGACTTGCAGAAGAAAAGTCCGGGAAGAAGGAAGGAAAGCCCACAGGAAACGCATTCTCAGAGTCGAGTATAAAAGTGCCTGGGAGGGGGGTGCGGGGCAGGCGTGGCCGAGGACCCTCCCCCACAGGCCCCGCTGGTCCATTCAGCCGCCCACTGCCCAGGTGCCACATGCACAGCAGGGCCACGACCCCAGCCCTGCCGGTGCCCCACAAGCCAACCCTCCAGGGGAGGCAGGCCCTTTACCAAGGACCCACAGGCACCAAGCAAGTGTGTGGCAGGGGGACATGCAGGACCACAGGCAAGAAGCAGCCCTGAGATTGTGAGGGGACCAGCTCGGGAAACAGCATCAGGCTGGGGCCTCGAGGGACAACCAGGAGTTGTCCAGTGGGCGGCGCTGGGAAGGGCACGCCGGACAGAGCTTGCATCCCAGCAAGTGGGGGGGCACAGAGCGGCAGGGAGGAGGCAGGGCACCCTCGGGTCCTGCCTGCCAAGGCTCTCGCGGTGTGCGTTGCCCCCGCAAGGCTGGTCTCTGTGTCCCCGAGGCTTGGCCTCTGTCCAGGCTCCTGGCAGATGCTCAGTGAACAGGTTGGGGCGGACACTGGCGGCGGCAGGGGGGTGGGAGGGCGGAGGTCGGGAGCGGCAGGATGGGGTGGGCGGGCGGGCAGGGAGCTTGGTGGGGAGGGGACGTGCAGGCTACCAGGACCCGCCGGGCAGAGGGTGACCGAGGCACCGTGGGCTCAGGGCACGCTGCACCCTGACCCGAGTCGCAGGCGCGGCTCACCGTCTGCTGCAGGTCCTCGATGACGATGCGGACCACCAGGGTGTTGCCCTGGCTCTCCTCCGTCCTGGCGCCGCCCGGCTTCTCCGCTGTGGCCCGGATGGTGTCGTAGATGGTCTCCTCCTTGGAGCTGTCCGAGTCCGAGTCCTCCGAGGAGTCGGAGAAGCTCTGGGCCATCTCGTCCTCGCTGGATGTCGGGCTGCGCGGCATGGCTGGTCGTGCCTATGTGGGGCAGCGGGAAGAACAGATATTAGGGAGACGTGAGCACCAAAGACTGAAACCCGGGTGCGGCGGACACGGGCGTTGGAGCGCAGCTCCTGCGTTTGTGGGCGTGACCACAGGCAGGGTGACCAGTGTGTGTCGCACACACACCTCCTCCCGGAGCCTGAGCTGGGCGGCCAGCAGGACCCAGTGGAGGCCCTGGCGCTCTGCCCCGGAGCTGGGCGCCCCGGCGCCTAGAAGGAGCCGGGGCCAGCAGCGGCCATGCCCCCGGCGTACGGGGATTAAGCAAAGGGCCGCGTGGCAGTCTGAAACGTCCCAAGGCAAGAGGAAAGGCTGCCTTTGTGTTTCCTGGAGGACAGAGAAGCAGGGGAGGGAGAAAGGCAGGCTGCAGGTCAGAAGGGCACCAAACTCCCGCTACGATATCCCCTGCTGCAAACACGGCAATGACAGGCACCGTGTAAAGCCGAGCCAGCAAGCAGGGCCGGGCTCAGAAACAAGACACCCGCAGGCCCAGGAGCACGGGGGGGGCGGGGCGGGGGCAGGCCGGTGTGGGAGGCTGGAGGCCCCGGAACTTGTGGCGGCCTCCTCCCGCCCCACGGGCAGCGAGAGTTCCCCTGCAGGAGCCAGGTCAGAGCGCTGGCCGCCACCTCGGACCACGGCTGCCAGCAGGACGTACCTTGGGGAGCAGGCCACCCACTGGGACACCCCAGCGCCGCGGGCAGGTGTCCAGAAAGGTCAGGATAAAAGCCAGCGTGACCCGGGGTTGCCGGGGGGGGGGGCTGTGCCAAACCAGCACCCGCACTGAGGAGGCCAAGGCCACGCGCACAGGGAAGACGCCCAGACGGCTGCCTGCAAACACGCGCTGCCCCGGGCAACCCAGCTCGCAGGCCGCCCTCATCATGCAGGCTCTGCCTGTCCAAGCCGTGGTCTCCTTCCACGGACTGCACAGCTGTGAGAAGGAGTGAACCCCCACAATGCACAGAGGACCCCAAACATAATCCTGAGAAAGGAAGGGGGCTGGAGGATGAATCAAATGACACGGTGTCACTTCCACAAGGGCCGGAAAAATGCAAACAGCTCTACGGACCGTGAGCACGATGCGGAGTGAAGGTGCAGGGCACTGGTGGGGACAGACCCGCCACACTCGGGAGGGGCAGGAGGGGTGCACAGGGCCTGCGACGCCCCTCGCCACGTGTGGTCTCCTTAAAACTGCTCCCGCACACGGGATGGAATGCCAAACTGTGACAAATGCAGGGACACTGACGTTCGCTATATTACACTTTCTTTCTCAGAAATATTCCACAGTGGGAGGGAGGGAGGCGGGGAGGAGGACGCTCACCTGCCCAGCTACCCCAGGAACTTGGGACGTGGCCCCGCTCTGTTTCACTACGGGGTAGGGCGGGCAGAGCGCGGCGAAGTCCCGGGTAGGACGCAGGTCACCCGGTGCCAACTCTGTGTTCAGCTCGGGAAGGCTGCTGCCCACCACTTATGTTCACAGTTCATTTAAGGACAGCAGACACCCCTGGAAGTGGTTCTCTACTCAGCCTGTGGAGTCAGTCCTGGAGGCAGCCACCAGGTCCATGGATTTCCACGGTGACTCACCAGACACGCGGGCACACGCAAAGCCCAGCAAACCACAGGAGCCACTCGAGGAATGCAGCCCCCACCACCACCAAGGGAAAGGCAAGACCATGCCTGGGTCAGGGGCTCCCTCACTGCCCAGAGGATCTGGACCGTCCTCGGGGAAGGGGCTGGGGTCACGTGGCCCACAGGTGCTGTTGTGTTGGCCTGCAAAGGGTTTTGAATGTCATGAACCTGGAAGTTTCATATGACAACTTGGATTTCTGGCTTCTTGCGGCTATCAGGAGAACCTGGTGTTGCTGGGCACGGCCACATGGCACCTCGGGGTAGGACCAAGCTCCAGCGACCCCTCTGGCCAGACGCCCTCCCTCTCCATGGAACCAAAAGACTCAGTACCGTCAGATCTCCCACCAGCACAGCTCTCATGGTCCCCTGGGCCCTGAGTTTGAGAACCAACGATGGAGCCACCCAACCATCCATGCTGGCCTCCTCTGTCTTCTGCCTCCCTCTCCTGCAGACCCCCTCCCCTTCCCTGGGAGGGGTCACCGGACAGGTTACCCATCTCCAGCAGCAGAGCATCCGAATCACGCAGGAAGATTTTATTTCTTCAATCAAAATTTCCAAAGTTCACCCCAGTGGAATTTTTTAAAATATCTTAAACACTTTATTATTTTTCATTTTTCAATTTATTATTTTTTAAAACAGGCTTCATTCACTTTATTTTTTAAATTTTTTTAACACCCAGTAAAATTCTCAGTTGAAATTTCAGAGCACATGAGTATTCTTGTCTTCACTGCCAAATGCCTTTATAATTTCAGCTTAATGTTTTCCCAACCATAGAGGTGCAGAATCTGGTGAGGGCAGAGAGAGCTGCAGCTGAGGGTGGGGTCTGGGGCTTCCTGGTTCCACCTTAGGAAGGTCCCAGCCAGCCCGGCTGCAACTCAACGGACACGTTCACTCATGCATTCACTCAATCACCATTGATGCACAAAACAGCAGTGCCTGGTGTAATTATACACTGTATACACACATTATGCGATATATATCACAGTCACAATTATAATCATAACATAGAAATACCTGTGTATTATTGTAACATATTACAATTATTTATAATTATTGTAACATATTATAATATAAACATAAGTTGTATATTACAGAGTTGCAAAGACATAACTGGTTCCAACTAGGTCCCAGGTTCCAATGAAGTATATCCTGGCTGCACAGGGAAGTTACCTGGGAGCTTTTAGGAAAACACCAGCACCAGAAGGTCTGATTCAGTCCATCTGGGTGAGGTCCCGTATCGACCTGTCTTCAGACGCTCCCAGGTGACTGGAATGAGGACCGCGGCCCTGGGTGCCCCTGGAGCCGAGTCCGGGGCTCTGAGTGTGCAGGCCCCGGCAGCAGCACAGAGACGCAGAGGGATGAGCCCAGCCCTCCCCCGGGGGTGGCGGGCCGTGTCAGCAGTCGGGACGGACTCGGGGTGGGTCTGGTCACTCCAGGCTTGGGTGGCTTCTTTCTGCCCTGACAGGGGGACATGAGCGCTGGGCGGCTTCTGCTCCAGTAAGAACTACAACTTCCCCTCTGACTTCTGAGCCCAGCAGACACCGAGGGCAAACAGGCCGAGAGAGGACGGGACGGGACATCACATTCACAGGTGGGGATCAATACTGAATGAAGAGGAACAGCTGCCGGGTTCACGGGAGGCCAGGCCGGGGCAGGGGCTGCGCGTCCGCTGCTGAGAGGCCTCCCTGGACCAGCGCTCCCATGCAGGAGGAGTCCGGGCCCCAGAAAATTCCTGGGCTTCAGGCAGCAGGGGCCTCAGTGCCAGCATCTGAGAAACGGGCGCATGGAGAGCCCAGCTCTGGGCACACACTACAGGCCCTGGTGTGCCCCCTCTAGTGCATCCCAACCTCTGCTTGAAATTATTTTAAAAAGAAAAACCAAAAAGAAAAAAATTGCGCCCCCACCATTCTCTTCCACCCGGTCCCTTTCCTCTAAAGCCCTTCTTTGCCTCTGAAATGCTTTTATCTCGAGTTCCTCCTGTCCATGCTGCATTTCAGGGGGTCTGTCCATCCCTGCTGCCCCTCCGGCGTCTGGGGCACAGCGGCCAATCAGTGAACCCCCGGGGGGGCAGCAGGTCATGGGGAAGCACCGAGTGCAGGTGGAGGCGCCCGGGACCGAGCCAGACGCTCCAAGTCTGCAGGCGCCGGCCACGTCTGGACTCCAGCCACCGCTGGCGTGCAGGACGTGTGCACAGCCCGCGTCTCCTGAGCCTCGGAGGGTTTGTTTGTTTACCTGGAGCGGAGTGAGTTCACAGTGCTGTGCTGACTTCAGGCGTACAGCACAGCGACTGCATTACACTTACACGTAACTCTTCTTCATCACAGGTTGCTACAAGAAGTTGACCATAGTTCCCTTGCTAGAAAGTAGGACCTTACTGTTTATCTGTTTTACACATGGTAGTTTCAGATGAAAGGCAAAACGCTGGCACGCTCCAGTGCTGGGAATTCCTTGTTTTCCAAGGGTGACTTTGCCACTGCACCCACTGGGCAGGCGACCCGTCTTGGACATGCAGGTCTGAACAGTCAAGTGTGCCTGACCCCTTGGCCTTTCTTCCAGAAAATAAAAGGCGGGGGGATGGTGGTTGGAGGATGTTGGCGCCAGGCTACAACTGAATCGACTCCGGGAACGAAACGGACAACCAAGGGGAAAGGGCCCGTGTCCCAGTGCCCCGCGGCCCTCAGACCTCGCCTGGCCACGAGGACCCCACCATCGCCCCTGCATCGGCATCTGCTACAGAAACTCAGGCCCGGGGGGCCCGCTGGACCCTGAAGCAGCACCAGGCTTGCTTCTTTCCAGGACGCCCTGGGAGCGCGGGCCAGAAGCCCTGGTGGACGGTCTTGACCTTAATGAGAGGCCTGAGTAACATAATCACCTGATCCACGGGAGGAGCAAACACTGGGGAAAACAATTATTAACTCCGGGTGGGACTGCCAGCGACACAGAGGGCGCCCGGGGACACTTGCATTTTGGATAAACACTGGACACCTTTTGCTCTAAGTACTTCCTAAGGACTGCACGGGACATACTTGCACCGAAACGTTATTCATCTGGCTTCTGCATCTCATCGGGCTTCGCCGTGGGGACCAGGGCTGAAGCGGCTCTCAGGGCCCCTCGTCACACAGGTGGGACCAGAGGGGAGGCCCAACTCAATCAGGAAAGCAGCCCCCCCAGGAGAGGCCAGCGCCGGGCAGGGGAGGGCAGGTTACGCACCACCCAGGGGCAAACCTTCTCAGTGTAACTAACCTCTCCGGGGAAATGCCAAACTTTAAACACACAGGTCGATGAAGTTCAATGTCTCTCAGAACGAGCTGGTTTCACTGGCCCTGCTGGGGACCGATCAAGGGAGAAAGAAA